GGAACCTCTAAATAGAAAGCTTAATTAACAGTTTGACCTGGTGGAATGAACTCCAAATGGACTACGAGTCAACGTTTTTGTCCATTCGGGAAGTTGACCGACGTCCAGGATGAGGTTTGTCATCAATCAACATTTCACCTTTTTTGAAATAAGAAAACCATTCATAAACTTGAGTTTTTTCCATAATGCTGTCCTTGTAAGCTGTGTTCAACATCACAGCAGTTTCTACAGCATCTTTCCCAAGCAGGAAACAGTTTCACAGCCACACGCTCTTCTCTTCGATCTGCCATCACAAAAAATGAGTTTTGAGCAAAACTGCTTTTATGAAAAAATTCCCTGTGACCGGAGAGAACCTTTCCAGGCAATGCCACTGGGTGCACTCACTCAGAGTGAGTTGCTCGCTGCTCGCCTAGTGGGGAAAAAGCGAACTAGGAAAGCTCTGCTCCACCCAGCACAACTCCAGGGTTTTTTGGGGGGAGGGTACCCCCTCATATATACAATTACAAACACACTGAGATGTACAAATACACCCGTGCCAACACACCTGCACACACATGTGCACATGCATATGCATGAATGACCACACACAACAGGCCTGTAGCCTTGTGTGCCTGCATGTACTTGCACATGTGCATACCTGCATACACACATGCATGGCTGTATATGCACTCGCACACATTTGCTCCCCAGCCCCGGAGACATGGACAGCCTTTCCCACTGGTCCTGGCGTGTGGTCCCTGGGGGAAGCCACCACTCACACTGTCGTACTCCATCAGGGCTGAGGATCCACCAAAGAGCCGCCGGGCTAACAGCTTTCCTGCCATGATGGCCGTAGGTGTGAGCTCGGGCCGCCCCTGAGGAAGGGAGCATAAGGCTTAGGTCAGCAGGGCCAAGGGAGTGGCTGCTAAGTATCTTCCCAGAGAGGGGGCCCTGTCTGGAACCCCTCCACCCACAGCGCTGCAGCAAGGCTAAGTAAGGCCTCTCCAGGTCCCTGGTGTGGTTATCTTCTCTCTGCTGCCCTCCAGCTGCCTGAGGGAGGGAGGCGCCTATAGTCACACAGCCAGCTTTACAGACCACCTCCCCTAAGAGAAAAGTCTGCTGACAGCTCTGCCCCACCACATAGGCTCAAAAGGTTCTATGAGCTGTTCCCACCCCAGGAACCGTGGTGGCCTCGTGGCAGCCCTCTCGCCTTCCACACAAGACCGAAGTTAGATTCCCATGCACTGCACCTCCTGTGCATTCACCACCCGTCTGTCTGAAGAGGTTCACAGGTACAGGTGGAGCTGCCAGGCTAGGCTGGACTAGGAAGAGAGGCCTGGTGGTCTACTTTCAAAACTCAGTCAAGGGGAACTTCAGAGGTCCCATCCACAGCCAATCCTGGCAGTGGTGCTGGGCAGGGGAACCCTTTGTGTGTTATGCTGGGCCTGGGCGGCCGTGAGCCAGGGGCAGTTTGACAACCGCAACAACAGAAACCACAGTTTGCCTTCGCTGCCACTCAAGTAAAATGGGGTGCTGAGCATTCTGGGTGATCTGGACCCGCAGTTTGCATTCTCACCATTAGCCACTACAAATCTCAGACCAGGGGCATTGTTCTGCTGAAATCCCCCCTCCTCCTCACTGACTCCTGTTCCTCACACCACCGTGTCCTGCTGGCTTCCTGCACGCGCGTCTGCCTGAGGCCGGCTGCCACTCACCACAGCAGCAGGAAGTCAGGATGCTGTTTGGCATTCCAGAAATGAATGGAGATCAGCACGGATAAAGCCCCGCTGGCAGCCGGCATTCCACTGGGCCTGACTAACTGGGGAATCCACCACATACCCGCTGCGCAGTATCAAGCTCACCAGTGCCACCCTGCCACCCCAAGCTCTGCCTGGCTGTCACTGGGCCTGGGAGGCTGTGAACTCCATGATCGCTCAGAATCAGCTCTCCTAAAGTGGACAGGAGTCTTGCTGGTGGTGGTGGTTAGGGTGGGGGGGGTTGTGAGGGGAGGAGAAGAGGAGCTCTCACACCTACAGAAAAGAAACGCACAGGTAAAGCCTGTGCACGCGCTCGCTCACAGACACGCACATGGATACGCAGTTGCACAGAGATACACTCACACGCAGCCCTTCTCTGGCCCGAATGCTAATGCTTTTCCTGCAGTAGAGCATGGATCTGCAATCAGAGGATGCTACCTGCCACATGGCCAAGCCCGGTGGATGGAGATGATGGGAGGCCAACTGTATGTCCAGACACATGGGCAGGGCCTTTGGGGCAGTCAAGGGCACGTCAAACCGCTCACCGCCCCCCACACGAATCAACATGGCTGACTGTGATGGTAAAGACACAGCTTGGGGGAGAGGCCAGGACCTCTGGACACTATCCACCAAGCAGTTCCCATGCAAGTGCATGCACACAAGTCCGTCTCTCACCCGAGGGCGATTCTCTGGGCGCCTGTGTCTCCAGCAGCCAGTTCCAGTTTTCAGGCCCCACCCATACACCACAGGGACAGCTACGTGGCTCAGGCCTGGGCACTGGTCATTGGGCAAGCCCCGGAGAAGGGTGCTGCATGGTGGTCACCACTTCTGGGGACAGTGTCAGGCGAGTACCCTCAGCCCTGGGAAGAAAGGGCAGAACTAGCCTTGAACCCTCCCTGGGCTGGCTGGTGTGCCACGGCCTGCATGAGCAGAGCAGGGCTGAGGGGGACAATCCTGCACCATCACTGACCCCTTAGCCAGTGTCTACACGGCTCCTGGATGGCCTTGGGGACCAGCTCCACCTCAGACCCTAGCTCCCGCTTTTCTCCTAACTCCTCCCTGCCATTTCCCCCAATGGCTTCCTTTCCCTAGGATGAAACCCCTCTCCCACAGGAAGGGTGCAGATAGGTCAGAAGGGTAAACTGAGGCATGGATGGCAGATGGAGGGGAGTGAGTGAGTCTCCTGCTGGCCCCTGTCCTCAAAGTCACTGCCCTCAGGTAATGCCAACTCACGGTGAACCTACAGGTCAGTGCAAAAATACCCCCGTGGGTTCCCAAGTCTGTGCCTCTTCAAGGGAGTAGAAAGCCTCCTCTGTCTCCCTCGGCGCAGCTGGTAGCCCACAGCTGCCGCCTGCGTTTCCAGAACCTTAAATCTCATCTAAAGGAAGCCGGGGGTGCGGTCAGGTAAGCCTTGGGCTGCTAACAGCAAGGTCAGTGGTTCAAGCACACCAGCTAATTTGCCAGTTAAGCCGAGACTGGCCTCTCCCATAGGATTTACGGCCTAGGTCACTATGCAGGAGCACTGAGTTGGACTTGACTCAATGGCAGTGGGTTGGATTTCAGGGCCTCATAGGCATGTGGAACCTGGACAGTGACTGAGGAAGACGTGAGAAGATGCCATGCCTTTGAACTCTGGTGCTGGCAAAGAATATTGAATAGGCTGCCGGAAGAACAAACCGATCCATCTTGGAAGAAGGGCAGCTAGAATGCACTTTCGAAGCAAGAATGGAGAGATTTCGTCTCACACACCGTAGGCATGTGATCAAGAGGGATCGATCCGGTCCCAGCAGCAGACATCGTGCCTGGCACAGCAGAGGGTCCATGATAAAAGAGGGTGACCCCCAGCAAGATGGGTGGACACAGCAGCTCCTACCATGGGCTCAAACACAAGAACAATAGTGAGGCTGGCACAGAACTGGGCCATCTTCGGTTCTGTTGTGCAGGGAGTTGTCCTGGATTGGAACTAGCTCAAGGACACCTGACAACAGGAAGCTTCCAGACCACAGTGGGCTGCCTGGAGCGCACAAAAGCCCAAGTCTGGGCGTTCAGAAGTATGTCCACTGAGCGTGTCTGTCCAGTCGCTGCTCAGCCCATGTAAAAGTCCTCTCGCACCCACCCACCACACGAAGGACCCATGTTTGAGAGACAGAACCGAACGCCCAGTCCTTCCCCAAAGCGTCTGTGCCAGCCAGGCTCCTGGAGACGGACTCTCCCTCTCCCTCTGCTGCTGCGCTAGGAGAGGCAGGCAGCTCAGGCTGGGCTCAGGAGTGGGCCATGGTCTTACCTCCACCACGTCTCCAATGGCATAAATGTGGGGAATCGATGTGGCTTCCTTGGCATTGACCACTATCTTCTGACTGTCGGGGTTGATGCGTACCCCCGCCTTCTCCAAATTCAGACCCCTCGTTTCTGGAACTCGACCTGAGGGAGGCAAAGAGGAAGGCCTAGCCATGGGCCGGGGCCATCCGATCCCCAAGAGCACGTCCCCTACTCACACCGCCTGCTGTGATTATGCGCATTTCTGGAACTCAGTGAACTGTGTCTGCCCGCAGCAGCCTTGAGGGGCGTGTGTGGGTCTGAGATAAACATTCGTGAACGTGGCTGGGCGCAGTGGCTGCCGTGGGCAAGGCGTGGGAGAGACCTTTGGGGCCCTGGTGTCTGCCTCCCTGCCTCCAGCCCCGAGTGCAGCTGACGCTAGCAGGCAGCCCAAATAGCATCCCCCCAAGGCCTGGGCTTCTGTGCATAGAGGGCTGAGCAGGGCTTCCTCCAGGGGCCCTGACTGGGCAGCCAAAGCTGCCAGGCCCACCCTGCAAGCGACACCTTGAGGCTGACTCTGGTACTGCCTCCCCATCAGGTGCCTGGTCTCAGCTAGAGTGCAATCCCAGGCCAGCTTCCAGGAGACTTACATCCATATGCACATTCCTTCCCTCAAAGGGTGAGGGCTCTGCCCCCACATGGCTCCCCACAGAGGAACTGATGGGACTTGGGGTAGTAGTTTCATTTGTTTTTTAACAAGTAATTTGGGACTCCTCCATTGCTTCAAGAGGCCTTCCTGGTCGCTACAACCCGTTGGGAGGTGGGGATGCAAAGTGATGACCAGGCACATTTGTTCTCCGAACCCGGAGAGGGTCAGAGACTAGGAAACCAGAGCCTGCACTCCCATCTCCAGAGAGCCCAGGAGCCCAAGTCCTTCCCGGCCAGCACCCGTCCTGGGCCAGCAGGGCTGCCCACTGACAGCCTGGGCTCTTGCCTGGGCAGCAGGGGTCGGTCCAGTGTGGTGAGAAGTCCGTGCACAGCTGGATACGGCGGAGGAACCAGCCAGGAAGGGATAGGGCGACAAGGAGCTGTACCCACAGGACAGTGAGCCCACTCACCAGGTCAGACACAGGCAAGGCTCTGCAAAACCCCGGAGGTAGTGCCCAGAAGCCCGGCTTTCGCCCCATGACTGCTACTGAGGGCAAAATGCGAAAGAGGAGCAGAACACGAAGGGCTTGCTGCCCATCCTGCCAGGCCCCGTGGCTAGCTCCTAGGCTAAGTGCTGGGCTGGCACTGGAGCGACTCCCTGAGGAGGAGAGGAGTACCAGGAGCCTCAAGACAGTGGCACACTTTGGGACCCTAACTCCCAGGTGGTGGTGGTGGTGGTGGGGAGCTGGGTTGGCACTCAACCCTACTGTATATCAGAGAACACACGTAGGCCTCTCACCTGTCTGCCTGCGTGTGAGCAAATGAAGCAACATGACCCCTTACCCCACACTAGTGGCAGCAGGGGACCTGCAGACTGCACAAGATGCTTGTGGTTCCTGTGCTGATCTTGAACTTGGCTGGGCACTGAGCTCACATCCACCTGGGTAACCAATAGGGCCCTGTCCAGGCAAGATGTCCCAGCTCTGCCTTTGGCTCTGAAACTGGCTGGCGTCAGCCTCCTCACAGTTCCTCCTGAGCCTTGCCCTCAGTGCGGTCCCCCCAGGGCTGAGGGGTGACAGCTGTAGCCCACCACCCTCTCCAGCTCTGCTGACATACTCTTCAGGACAAGGTGTCCATCTCAGGGGCCCAGCCCCGCCAACCAGCTGACCAAGAATACTTGTGCCAGCCTGGCCACCACATATCATGTTTTTCTCTGTCTGTGTCCCCTTTGCTGCTCCTCACAGATCCGTCTGTCCTCAGAAAGGCTCTACTGATGTCCTGTCCCCTTCCTCCCTCTAACGGAATAACGGGCACCCTGGATAGTTTCTGATCATGTCATCTGAGGAGGCCCTCACACAGGGGACTACTGAGACCCTTACAAATGGAGAAAAGCTGCCTTCTCTGCCCAGTAGTGTGGGGCCTTGGGGAGCTATCCCCCCCCATCACAGCTGCGTGTCTGCCTCAGCGCACACCTATGCATATGCACATGGATGCGCATACATGCAAGTATGTACATGCATGTGCGCCTACATATAAATATGTGAATACATGTGTGCAAACACACATATACATATGCAAATGAAAGTACAAGGTGTATACATGCATATACATGTGTGTATACATGCTTGTGCACACACGTATCCATATGCACATGTACACATGGATGTGTGTGCGTATGGATATGTGCAAATGCATGCATAATATGTGTATATATAAATACGATCATACAAAGATGTATGCATGCACATACACATGTGTGCACATGGACACACAGGACACATAAATGCGAACACATGCAGACATGGGTACGTGTGATACACATGTACATTCGTGTGTACACAGATAAACATAAACACACATGCACACATATACACGTGTACATGAACACACAGATGAGGTGCACACATGCACACAAGAGTATTCAAAAAGTTTATAGAAAAACAAAGTTAAAAAGTAAAGAAATTTCCCTACAAACTTTTGAAACTCCTTCATACAAGGGAGTGCCCCGTAAAAAATGGAAAAAAGCTCCTCCAAGCAGAGCTTTCCTAGTACAGTACCCATTTTCCCCCGCTAGGCGAGCAAGGAGCAACTCACTCTGAGTCAATGCACCCAGTAGCGTCTCCGGGAAGGGTCTCTCTGGTCACAGTGAATTTTTTCATAAAAGCAGGTTTACTCATACCTCATTTTTTTTTGATGGCCAATTTAAGAGAACACCATCCAGCTGTGAAATTTTGTTTCCTGCTCTGGAGAAATGCTGCAGAAACTGTTGTGATGCTGGGCACAGCTTACAAGGACAGCACTATGGGGAAAACTCAAGTGTATGAGTGGTTTTCTCATTTCACAAAAGGGGAAATGTTGATTGATGACCAAACTCGCTCTGGACGTCCATCAACTTCCCGAATGAATGAAAATGTTGAGAAAATCCGTGCCCTTGTGCTCTGAAGACCCACGACGAGCCATTGTAGAGACGGGACGTGTTCTGGACTGTCTTGGGGCTCGGTCCCACGGATGTTAACAAAAGTTTGGGAAGGAGAAGGGTCGCTGTGAAAAGGGCTCCTCGGGTTCTGAGTGAGCAGGAAAAAGCGTGTCCACTGGCAACGTGCCGTACTTCGAAAG